ACTTCTACTGTTTCATCAATTTGTGTTCTTCTAATGAGAGTCAAAAGAGGAATATGTGCCACTTTAACTTTTTTTATCATCATATGTTTGCAGTATATAATGGTTACATTTGTTGTAGGAAGTTGGTACAAGTACACCTTTTGAATTGTGACCTATCTTAAAAGTTCATGACAAAATGTCCTTAGCAGCAGGCAAGAGCATTAGTAAAGGGCCTTAGTTTTAGCAGTGAAGTTAGTCGCTAAGAATGATGCTGTCAGTGCAGACACATTTGATGAACTGGTGATCCTCAATAATTCTGTCCATTCTTCATTTTCATATTTTGTTTTGCAAAACTGTAAAGGGTTGTCCTTCAATACAGAGTATTTACTCTCCATATGGCAATGCAGTTTTGAAGGTTTTGTGGCTCGGCTGGAGAACTACATAGTATATAGTGGCTGTTGCAGGGAATCCATGATTTAAGTAGGATTTGTGATCTTTTCTTTTTGTTGGCATTGTAGTCTTCTGCTGTCTCATCACAGGGTACTTCTCCTTTGCAAAGAATCTCTCCAGTAATGCTTGTTTGTCCTTCTCTTTGGTTAGTATTAGCTTGTGGACTTCCCAAAACTGTCACTGGTATATAATATGGGAAAGAAGTTGGATATATGGTTAAATAAGTGGGTCTGACTTACAGCCTGCTACCAGATACAACTGTACAGTTGAACTCTATCTACGCGCTGACAGGGTTTTGATACGAGTCATCAAACAACTGCTTTGTTATTGTTTTTGTGCAGTCAGACCTCTAATGTTAATCTGTACATGCATCTCCAGTGCTAGCATCACTGCCTCAGTTCCAGATGAAAGCATCAGACGGTAGATTTTAGAGTGTACAACTAACTCCCTTATGTATTGCATCTCACACTAGAGTTTACACTATGAGAATCTAATGCTGCTGCTGATCTGATAGGAAGTAGGATGATGGGGAGCAGCTGTAAGTATAGCTGAAGCTTCAGTCACTTGCCCCTCCACATACTTCCTTCTGTTCCTAACAGGCCATAGACAGGGACAAGTCTGGCCAGCCCCGAGGTTGTCAACTCCTGCATTACCATTAGTCTTTGTTGATGGAATCTTGGTGTTTCAATCATGCTTATGAATACTGAGTAAAGATAGTATTATACTTACTGTTAGTATGTAACATAAAGACTGACAATAAAGTGTTATTAGTTAATTTGTACATGGAGGTTCCTGGATGAAGAAAGTATTCTCAAGTAAAATAATGAAACGATCTCTTCACTTTTGAGACTTTACTTAATAGTTTTAAGTTTTACCATATGCAGCTTTAATTTGAAATTTATGTTTCATAATCTGTTTAATACAATTGAAAAAAGTTTTGAAATAGGCTATTCGGTATGATAAGTATAGGGACATAGTTTATAGGCATACTTTAAGGTCTATTTAAGTTAGACTTTGCTAATAGTATGTAATCAGTGTATGTTTAAATTTTTATTCCACTTTTTACATTAAATGAAGACATAAAGCATGTATTGAGCATATGCTATGTCAGACACTTGCCTTTTAAGCATTATCATTCAGTCAGCACGACTTCAGGAATGGACTGATTCTGTAGCCCATGCTATTTATTAAGTTGTTTTACAATTTTATGCATTGTTCAGTCTTTTTAATACCTGTCTCAAATTGATTTTCCTTTGCATTAGACCTTACAACCTCCAACTCAAAAGTATATGTTATCTCAGCAGTTTCCTATTTCTAGGTAACATTAGTGATGTCCAGCAGAGTCCCCTTGAATATTAAGATATTTATATATTAATTAACATTCAGAGTTAAATGTTCAATTTAAGCATGTGGAACCCCTAGCAAATACACAGGGAATCATAGTATGGAGAGATTAAGTTTTAAAATGGTGGTACAAGGACCTCATGAGTCTCTCCATCATCCCCCTCCCTTTAAAAAAAAAAAAATGAGTATTGACCAATAACTCCTGTAATCTCCCTAACCTGGAAGTTAACCAGAACCACAGAAAGTAGTGTTGTCTACCCAAGCAAAACTACTGACTCTAAGACACAAGAGCCAGATGCAGCATATCCCTTGTCACTTACTGGAATCTTGAGGCTGTTCCCATCCTGCTTCCCTTCCTCACTAGAGTGGTAATGTTGCCATGAAAAGCTACCAAATTAATAAACAATGACCAAAAAGACTGAGCTCCTTAGAGCTCCAATATAGTCTCCTTGCCTGTAGCATTGTCAGTATTTTGTACCACTGTTATCTCCTGGGAAAAGTCTCCATTCTCAAGATATTAACTATTTGATTTGACTCAGCTTTGGAATGGTGAGCATCCCTGGGCATTATCAAAAATAATAGCAATCTGCTGGCATATCACAACTACCTAAGCCTTTAATTAAAGGAAACAAGAATCTTGCTTAACTATACAAAGGATATTCTATAAAATTGATAACTATATGAAGCTTTAAAAAAGCTACACCATATTCCTAGGGATCTAGAAAGCTGAAAAAGATCTAGGAAGGAAAATATATCATGGAAGTAACTGAGATATCTTTCTGCCTGACCTTGATTGAGGTCCTGCTCAACCTGGAAATGAGAGCTAAGGTAACCTATAAACTGTTTGAACTTTGAAAACATATTTTCATACACCAGTCCCCTAACAAAGAGTAGACATAGAGACAAGATATTTAAGGAACTCTTATAACCAACCATTGGCCACTAAATTATATTGACCCAGATATCCATTCAAGAAGCTCAACTTAGAAAAAAAAACTAAGATAGCCCTGCCCCCAGGGCTTGCTGAGGCAGCGACTGAGACTGGGCATGGTGGTGCGCACCTATAATCCCAGCACTTCGGAGGCTGACAACAGGAAAATCACTATGAGTCTGATCTGTGTAGTGAGACCCTGTACACCCTGTAGTAAATAAACACAAAAAAAAAAAAAACCCCTAAGATATAAATAAAAGAGAATGTAGAGCAGCCACTACAAAACAAAAGCATATGGACTAAGTGGGAGGAGGGTTACTACATTTGTCACATAATCTAAAAAATTCATTTACAAGACTTTCAGAAAAACAGGGAAGTATGCCACATACACATTATAGTTACCCTCTCAAATAAAAGTGCCTGAAAGGACCAGATGTTGGACTTACTAGAAACTGTAAATCAGCTGTCTGTATTCTGTATTCAAATCCTTAGAGAAAAGTAGCATTAAAGAAATACAGGAGTATAAGACAACTGTGCCTCATCAAATAGAGAATACAAATAGATAAAAATAACTTTAGAGAAATCAAAGGACTGGAGGTGTAGTACAGTTCAGTGATACAGCATTTGCCTAGCATGTATGAGGCCCTAAGTTAAATCCTCAGCAGCACCACCCCAAAAAAATTCTGGAGTTGGTAAAAGTACAGTAACTGAAATTTTTAAATTAGTACAATGTTTAGAAGTGGATTCTAACTAGCTAACAAATCTAAAGACTTGAATATATATTGAAACTTGCATTCTGAGTCATAAAAAAAGGATAAAAATTAACAGTCTCCTTGATGGAGGCACCATCAAGCATGCCAGAATCTTCGTAACAGGAGCCATATAATGAGAGGAAAGGAAAAAAGAGAAAGAAAGAATATCTGAAGAAATAAAATTGATGTTATCATGACCTTTCTTTTTTTAAATTAATTTTATTGAAAACAGCAGTGAGACAGTTTCAAAACTGATTAGTAGGATTTCAGTAATTCAGTTTCAATAATTAATACATTGCATATTGTTGTTTTCATAGTGGTTATTCATAGTACAAGATGCAGATATGATATCCTGTCCAAACACACTACTAGTACAAATCTTCCTTCTCACTGAATTAAGAGAAAGTAGTTGTATATCGATCCTATTTGTATATACAGATACAAAATGGTCCTTCATTTGTATCGCCTTTTTTTGTTTAGTTTTGTCAGAGATGGATATTCCATTGGCATCTAAATTCTATAGGTGCATGAATTCAGCAAAACAATCCAACATAGTCCAACAGTCCACAATAGTAGTGGGTTATCCACAGAAGTTGTTGACTTGAGCCTTTCAAAGCTCAGCATATTAATATGGCTTTACTTTTTATACCTCGTTTTTATACTTTTCTGCTGGATGATTAAGACCAAGATAAGCAAGACCTGTATAACAAGAAATGTAGCTTTTACAGAGAGCAAATGGGTCAAGCAATGTTCATGACTCATCCACATGGCTGACACAGAGGATCTACAAACTGCAGTACAGGGTTTCAGGGTAAATACTGAGCGGATTTATCATGACCTTTCAACGGTAGCCCATCCAGGGTCTCACAGCCTCGGGGTCTGCTTTTATTTTTATTATTCTCTTTGCCTCTTTTGTTTGGCCCAGTTTTGCTCTGTAGAATCAGTTTCTCCCTTACCATTTCACTTTTCGCTTTTCAAATAAACTTTTTTGGCACCATTAAAAAATATTGGACCTGTCCAACTTTTATAGTAAATATTTTAATCTATGCACTTGAATAGCACAGAAAATTCCAAGTAGGATATTAAGAGAACCACACTCACACACGTCGTGGTCAAACTTCCAAACAATAACCAGAGTCTTGAAAGCAAGGGCAAAGAGAAGTAACATGCTGTGGATTAAGAGCCCCTTAAGATTAACAGCTGATGGCTCCTCAGAAACTGCAGGCTACAGGCAGAGGCTAATATACTCAAAGTGTTGAAAGGAAAAAACAAGAGTTTTTTCCTGTCCACCAAGAGTTCCATATATGACAAAACTACCATCTTTAAAAAATGAACTCTTAGACATACTAAGATAAGAACAATTGAATACTAGCAGATCTCTAAAAACTATGGAGGTTGCTTCAGGCTAATTAATGTTAATGATTTGGATACTCATTTCACATTTTTAAACTTAAAGAACATTTTTGTTACCTGGATTTTTTAAATTTTAGATTTGATGACACAATGTTTTTCAAAAATATTTTACTTTGTTTCAATTATTCTAGCTGGACAACTAAGCCAATCAGCACATTTAGCTCTCCAACTACCATACAATGTACTTGGTTTAGGTCGAAGTGCAAATTTTCTTGACCATCTCTATGTTGGTATTCCTCGTCCACCTGGAGAGAAAGTAAGTAAAACTTAAGTTTGTCTACAATTAATCTGTTTTCATAATCACTGTGTAAATATTTGAATTCAATAATATGAGCCAAATTCTGTTTGAACTCCAATAATTTAAAATTTTATTCTTCCCTGTAAGGAATAAAAAAATTGATTGGTAGTGATCCAAATTTATGTGGAGCATGTCATAGTTTGAAAACATTGTATGTTTTTTCCACTTCTTCCCTCATAAATCTCAAAGCTTCCTACCCTTCTTTCTCGCTTTTTCTTCTTAACATTTTTAACACCTAATACATGTATTTTACTACCATGTATTACCTAAATAATAAAATATACTGTTTCTTTGTTCATCTCCCCCTAACTTGAATTTTAACTATGATCAGTGTCTGTACATAGCATTTTGAATAGTATGCACTATGTAAGTGTTCAATAAATATTTGTTGAGTGGTGAATGCATTCATAAGAGACAAATGTAGTCTTTTTCCTGAAGAGATCCAAAACTTTTTCTAACAGATGTTATAGAACATCTGTTTTGGACTATATATGTTAATTTAGCTTAATGTATACCTCGGATTTCAAATGCTCAAAATAATTGGCATTTTTCCTTTTTTATTTAGAATAAATGTGTTTTTCTTCAATATAATAGATGTTAAATATTCTTAATTCTTTTTTCAGTCTGTACGAAAACAAGAATGGACTGCAATTATTCCAAATTCCCAGCTAATTGTCATTCCATATCCCCACAATGTCCCTCGAAGGTAATATCTTTGTTTAAACTTGGTAAAGGTACTGTCAACTCTGAATCTTAGCTACATCTTTTAGAACTCATTCTTACTATGTCCCCATGAATGCCATAACTTAATATACTTACAGCAAATTTCAAAGGGATTAAAACATGCTTACACAAAGGTCTCTGGCATTTTTAATAAAGTAAAAATTCAGTCTTATTAGAAAAACAGCCAGTTAATTAATTAGAGATTTATACATGTTCTGCTTAAATGAATTACTCTTCAGTTTACTAGTTATGAATTCTAAAATCTCAGGAGAAAGAGAGTGTGTGTGCATGATGTCTGCACTTTTAACCCAGAGACTTGAACATGCTAAGCAAGCAATCTACAACTGAGCTATAACTCAGCACTAGACTGCTATATTTTTCAATAAGCACTGATCTTTTAAATAAATTTTTTGAGAATTAGTATATTTGGAGTCAAACAGATCGTGGGCTACAACAACTCAGCTCTACTTCTGACTACTATAGGATTGAAAACTACCTTTTATTCTCCCAGTGGCCCAATTTTTGTATCTGTAGAATAGGGATATAATACCTTATAAGAGTAAGGATGGGGCAGGGGAGATAGCTCTGTGGTCTAAAGTGCTTGCCTGGTAAGCGCAAAGAACCAGGTTTGATTCCCGGTACCACATATTGTGCTGGCCCTGCCCCAGGCGCACCTTACTGGCCACCGAAACCAGGCATTGTGGTGCAGGCCTGTAATCCCAGTACTGGAGAGGCTGAAATGAAGCAGGAGGATCATTATGAGTCCAAGCTGTGTGGTGAGATCCTGTATCAAATTCATAAATAAAAAAGATTATTAAAAGGGGTGGGGGGGTAAATATGAAGCACAGTTATCACAATGCCAAACATACACTGCAAATAGTTGGTGTTTTTGTTCTTATCAGAATATGTGCCTTTCATGATTATAGCATTTAACTCTAGTCCTTCATTTATCTTTCAATTTTTTATTCAGTGATTGACTAGTTTTTTTTTAAAAAAGCAGGTGATGAAAGTATTCAATAACATTCAAATTTAGTTAGGAAAAATATTATAGTCTGATGTCAACATGAGAAAATAAAAAGAATTATATGTTTTTCTATGAATTTGTAACCAGTGGGGTCTTGTTTATTATATTTCTTTTCAAAATATAAGTTTCATTGTTCTTGCCCTGCCTACAACTAGGGATGGAGCCAGGGCTTTTTGCATCCCAAGAGATCACTATACTTCTCTCAGTCCTGTTCTTAGTTACATTCTTACATGAATGTTTCTGGTGTTTTCTAGAACCAGCTCATGCCATGTCAGGAGCTGTGTGCATCCTTTCCTGTCTCTGTTCAGTGAAGTTACATTAAACTCAGTGTGATGGCACAATTTACTCGATGAAAATGGAGGATGTCATGAATCAGATCTTGTAATCCCACTCGAGAGCCATTTTACCAGCATACCACTCTATACTTTATTGTAGATTTATGGGCTTCACAACCAAATTTGCTTAAGAAAACAAACCTTACTACAGTTATGTTTAAAATAAGATGAAATCAGCAGAAACTATTATACTCCTGCTTGTTTTTGTTGCTTTGTTTTGAGATGGGAGTTTCACTGTGGACGTAAGTGGTAAGGCCTCACAAGTACTTGGGATTACAGCCTTACACTGTCACACCTGGCCCTGATTCAGACTTATTTTAAGTGAGCCTGTTGTAGATTTGTTTTCCATAGTAGTTTTCCATATGTGAAATATATAACAAACAAAAGTAAAAACACAAGATCACTAGGAGGAAACTGTGTAAAGTATGGTACTGTTACAGAGTGCAGTGTCAGGACTCATTTACTGCCATGCACATAAAGCAGTGTCTTAAAATGGACAGCAAGCCAAAAAAATAAAAATGCAAAATGCAAAACAGCATGTAGAATATGTGACCATTGTGATTTTGAAAAATGATATCTCTGCATGCATGTCATGTATGGATATTTCTGCAAGAATATGAAAGAAATTACTATGTACAACTATCCCTGAACAGGGAAATGGGTATTGACTTTTTGTCCTTTTTTTTAACCAAAATACTTTTTATTTTAATTCTTTAAAAAATATTTAAAGTAGAAATATCCCCTACCCCGAGAAAACTTCATGAAACAGTTGTTCTTTAAGGCTGAGTAAAGTACTCAAAGTAGTTAAATTATATTTGCTTTCTTAAAGTTAGTTTATTCTGATTTTTCAGAAAATCCTACCATAGCTTTCTTCTACAACTTCAGTATTTTCATGTTTCCCTTCTCTTTCTGAACAAATGTTCTTTTCAAATTTATGTGCATAATAAAAACCAAATTGATTTTAGTTTGAGGTGTATTTTGAGACTTATTGACTAGAGACTAACTTGAAGGTCAATAAATTTTAATTATCTCAAAATAAATCAATACTGATTTGCTTTTCATCAGAATGGCTTTTCCTTTATTAAGCATTTAAAATGAAAATATATCTATTTTCTATTTCCAGAAAGAACAGAAATTTCCACATATATAGCTACCTGTGATGTTGGTGATAAAGGCCTACTTTTAAGCTTTTCAGGGTTTGCAAGTGCTGTGTAATATGTGCTATGTAGGAGGAAAAGCTAGTTCTGGTGGCCTTTAGTTTGTATCCTACCATTATCAGTGAAGAACTAAAAGTGATCTTGTAAAAGGTCTTAGTATAAAAGTCATTATAGTAATATTAAGCCTTCCAATATGACCCAGAATGGTAGATTTTTCTACACTCAGATACATGGTTGTTTCACTTGGTCATATATGTGCAGGCAAAGGCCAGAAAAAGATGATAGAGAAGGCTTATTGAAATCATATAACTACATAACCTTGGAGTTCAAGATTTCAAATTCAGCAAGTTGATCAAACTATCAAAAAGATGTGTTTGTCAAAAGTAGCCTTAATAAGGTTATATAATAATAATTTCAGAGGATCAAACTTGGAGGAAAAAATATCAGAATGTCTCATCAGCACCAGTCATGATGGCACACACTCAATCCTAGCACTCTGGAAGCTGAGGCCGGAGGATCACTGCAAGTTCGAGGCCAGCCTTGGCCACATAGCAAGACCCTCTCTCCAAAAACAAAAGTCTCAAGAATTCTATCATGGGGGCTGGGTAGTGTGGGATAGGGCACCATTTTACCCAGTGGTAAAGTGCTTGCTTGCCATGTTCAATGCTCTGGAGTCAAACCCCAGGACCACTTTAAAAAAGAAAAAGAAAAAATTGAGTACCAAGAAAGAAATGGACTCTGTAGGATCATCAGTATTTTTGCCACTACTGGAATTTATTGAGTTATTTTATTCATGATGAGGGGATAGATTAATGGTTCAGTAAATGTACTGTTTTGTTAATTAAACTGTTTTCCTTTCTGGACTCAGTTGAAGCTTCTCATTAAGTTAAAATTTATAATTCTAATTTTTCTATTTTTATCAACAGCTGGAGTGCCAAACTGTATCTCACACCAAGTAACATTGTTCTCCTCACTGCTATTGCGCTCATTGGTGTCTGTGTTTTCATCTTGGCAATAATTGGAATTTTACATTGGCAGGAAAAGGTTTGTTCAGTGAAATACTAACTTTGGTTAATTTGTTATAATGTATTCCTCTTTAAAACAACATTAAGGGGCCAGTGCTGTTGCTTAATGACCTAGCACTGGCACAGTACTGGCCTAGAATATGTGAGGCCATGAGTTTGATCCCCAGCACTACCACACACAAAAAAAAAGTATTAAATATATAAGTACATAAGTAGAAGGTTCCAATAATGCCCCCCTCCCCATTAAAAGGACTTCTTTGTATCATAGGAAAGAAGTATCGTAGGAAAGAGGGGTTTTGATGGGGGGGGGGTCCTATCATAATTATTTTTCACCAAAATTACCTTCACTTTTAGCTACTTTTTTAACTTCATGGAAAAGTACATGTTAATTTTTAATAAATATTAATAGGTTTGATACTCAGAAGCAAACCACTCTTTTATACTACAAAACAGTAACAAAGTTACATATTCTATTAACCTTAACATTGCAGTTTAAACCAGATATGGTAACCTACACTGTAATTCCCACTCAGGAGGCTGAGGTAGGAGGATCACAAGTTTAAATCTAACTTGGTCAATTTAGCAAGACCCTGTCTCAGAATAAAAATGTAAAAGGTCTGGGGATATAGCTCAGTGGTAGAACACTTGCTTAGCATGCTTGAAGTTCAGTCTCATGGGGAGAGGAGGAGAGAGAAAGAGAAGGAGAGAATGAATGAAAGTAAAAGATATGATCAAGGAAGGTTCTACATACTTTGTCCAGAAGGATGAGAACATAGTTTAAAAATATTACATAGCTATATATCACAGGAGAAAGGGAATCTCAGTATCTCAGGAGATCTGTGTATAGCATAAACAGTAACAGTGCAGTGGCTTAAAGTTTTAATTATGAATATATAGTTGTCATGTATATATTATGTCTCATGGTGCTGTGCTAGTTCTCCAATTATATATATATAATATATTAATATATATTAATATATTAGCAGATTAATATATTATATTATTAGCAGCTCTTTATATATATAATATATATATTATATTTTATATATATATATATTAGCAGCTCTTTTCTCCCACTCTCTCAATGCAAGCTTTCCACAGTGTCTGTCATACACAATCTTCTTTATATACTTTTCATACACTTTCCCAACAATTTCATCTAATATGGCTTAGCTATTGACTCACAATATTCCCAGATACCTCCTACTTCCCTCCTGCAGATTGAATCCAGTAATTGCTGAGTTATATCCCCATTCCACACTTTCTTTCTTGTTTTGTTTTGTTTTGTTTTGTTTTGTTTTGTTTTGTCTTGTCTTGTTTTGTTTTGTTTCATTTCATTTTGTTTTGTCTGAGACAGGGCTTTGCTATATAGTTTAGGCTGGCCCTGAACTCACTGTATATCCCATGCTGGCCTCAAATGTACAGTGATCCTCCTGCCACAGTCTCCCAAGTGCTGAGATTACAGGTGTGCGCCAGCACACTGGGCTCTTTCCTTCCTTTCTTCTTTTCTTTATTTCTGGAGACTGACTCTTGCTGGGTTGTTCAGGCTGGCCTTAAGCTTTCAGTCTTCCTTCCTCAGACTCTCAAAGAGCAGGTATTATAGGTATGAACTGCCATGCCCAGCCCTTCTATCTGTCTACAGCTCTCCCCTCATTTCCAGCTGTCACCTGGATTACTTACAAACATCCCAGAATCATCACTCAAAAGCTTTGCCCCTCCTCTGTCCTGTTGATTTTACTTTGGTAAGATTGTCTTCAGCTGACTCCACTTCCATGTTCCTGTTCCCACTGCCACTCAGCCCCTTCATCTCACCTGATTGATGTCTTTCTCGCCCCTGTCCATTTGACTTCTCCACATTGCTTTCAGATTACTCATCATTAAGTTTAGCCTAGTTATGTTACTCTACTGCTCAAAATCCTCTTATCTACTGCCTAAAATATATAAATTCCTTAGCCAGACCTTCAAAATACACCTTTTCATCCTTATTTCTTACCAACCCCTCTCGTATATTTCATTCTTCCAGTATTCCCACAACTGATCATGTACTCCCCCAGCTTGGAATAAATGCCCTTTCTTCCCATTTCGGTAAATACCACTTGTTCAAATTTTCCCTTTCCTCACTCAATCCGAGAAGTAATCTCTCTCTCAAAAGTAACATTTTTACTTTGTATTCTGAAGGATGGTGTATGTCATTCTTTTTCTTTCAAGGTTTTAAGTTCCTAAAGAATAAGCTATAAAATTGAAGGATATTTTAACCCCTTAAAATATCATATACCTTGCTGGGAGTAGAGGTTATAAACATCTGTTAAATTCTTACATTGACAAAAATTGCTATACTTTAGATTTGTTTATTAACATCAGTGTTAAGAATAGGTGGGAAAGCAATAGTTGAATCTTTTCATTATAGAGACTAATGTTTATTCCTACTTTCAAATAAATGACAAGCTAAATAAGGAACATCTGTTGTTGGTTTTTAAATTCAACTAGTATGCTATTAATTATAAAATAAATCCTATAAACTATAAAAATATTTTATATTATTATTGCATTATAAAATCACACTTATCTGCTATTTCCTGAGGGCTTTTTAAAAACCACTTACATTTCAGAAATGCGTCTTCTTAACATTTTCTTATAGCTTCTAAACTGGTCTAAACTTCTTTTTCAGAAAGCAGATGATAGAGAAAAACGACAAGAAGCCCATCGGTTTCATTTTGATGCTATGTGACTTGGCTATAATATTACCTAATGGAATGAATATTCACATGATTATCTGAAGTAACCAAATTCTGACTTATCAAAGAAGATAGGAGATTTTGAATATTATTTATAAATAATGCATCACTTGGTAATTATTTGCAAAGTATTAAATATGGTCTGAATGTCTCACAGGGTCTTTTCTTAAGCAATTTGTGTGCAATAATTTGGGTTTATTATTCAATAGCTCTTTGCATTTTTGTTCCTTTGTGGAATGTGTTGCATGTACTCTGGTGTCTCTGTATTTATAATCTTATTAGAGTAATGATGGTGGAAAAAGACATGTGTAAATAAAACTATTTAAATGTGCAGGATTCTTTTGTTCCACTTGAATTGGTTTCACTTCTTATTCTAATAGTATAAATTATACTTCGGCAGAGGCATCACAGATAAAGTTATTAAACCTGCACCTACATTACAGCAGTTGGGGTGTCGCTGATAGCCAGTATAGTGATGGAGCACTCTGGCATTGGAGTCCCAGAAAAACATACTTGTCATAAGCCCCTGCTTCCACAGCTTGCAAAGTTATTGTTTGAATTTGGCTCTTGCTTAACCCTTCTGTGCTTCAGTTTTGTTCACACAATGGGGCCAATATTGTACCTAACTCAAGTGAGTGATTGTAAACATTACATGGGGTGATTTTTGTAAAGTGCTTTTTTGCTTGGTGCCTAGCACAGAGTAAGTGCTAGTCATATTAAGCATAGTCATAATAAGTGGTAGTCATTTTTTTCAGATGATTTATTAGGGGTCTACAACTACCTAATTATATAGAATTGGTAGAATTTTACTTTCAAGCATGAGAAAATAATTCTCTGAAAAACTGAAATCCTTGGTGATTCACAACTTATATGCACCTTATTTGCTCATGTTGACTAAAAATTATAGTACTCTCCAAGAATAAAAGTGCTTTAAAAACTTTCATTTGAAAACTAATTCTTATCATGTGATGATGAAGAGTATTTGGTTTCTTGAAAAAAAAGCTGCTATAGGCAGCATCTGGGGAAGACTTTCAATCACATTTGTGTTCTCAAGGGCTTAGAAAAGTCTATAATTTACATTCAAACTTCAATGCAAATTTTATATTATACACTTCACACTGCCAAAATTTACTTCAAAAAGACTTAAAAGATTGGAAAACAACCTTACATATCAGGTCTAATAATTTTCTAATATGCACATAGACATGTAAGAGCTCTAAAATACAAAAATTTCTCTGAAAACAGTTTTTCTCATTATGTTTTTTTCTTTACAGTTCATTGACAGTGGCATGTGTTTAATTATTTACTTTGTATCTCAGCATGTTGATGTGTCTTCCTAATAAATATTCCTTACTGAAAGTAAGTGTTGTGAGTTTTTAAATGATTAGTTTAGAGCTGAAGAAGCACTAGAGGATGAATTATAAATCACTTGTCTGGACCCAGACACTGAGGGAAGCTGACTTATCCATTACCTCTTTGTGAGTGAGCGCAACACAGGGTTCTACTGACAGCACTCAGATTCCCTGAGCAGCCACCGGCCCACAGCACTCTACCAGGCACTCCCCGTGCTTTCAAGACACAGGCTTAGTATCTATCAAGTGAGCAAGTGTGGGTGTTAAAAATGATTTCTTGTCAGAATCCACAAGTAATAGTGTAACACAAATAAAATGATAATGACAGTTAAAGTACAGTCAGTGATATATTTCTTTATAAATACAAAATCAATATCATTTATTAAGGGGAAGCAGGTAAAAAAAAAAATGTGCTACAACATTGAGAATGCACAACAGAACTTAATATCACTTTAAATACTGCAATGGAACAAAAGCAAAACCGTGAGGTAAGATAAAACTGGATTCAGCGCCCAAATGGCATATTTTGTAACTTTTTTTGAACCTCTGTAACGATTACATTTCTCATGGGAAGTTGGCACATGGGCCTAACACATCTTAATTCTTCTATTCATTCCCTACCTCTCCTGTGCCTCAATGCTCCTTCCAATTCTTAGATCTTTTTCCATTTACAAAAGCTCTATGTATTTCCATTTCTTCAATTTTCCTCTTTCTCTTCCCTCCATCTCTTTTTCCCCTTGCCATTTAAGAAAGCTGTCCCTAATTCCTATTTTATTTTGCTCTTTTTTTTGGGTGGGGGTTATACGGACTTGAAACCAGGACCTTGCACTTGCCAGGTAGGCTCTGTGCCACTGAAGAATATCCCTGGCCCATTGCTCTTTATTTATAGTTTGGGCTTAAAATAAACCATGTTCTATTTAAGCTTTTGTGTCTGATTTATTTCACTTAATACAGTAGGGTAGTCTCAAGGTACATCCATTTACCTACAAGTGCCTCAAGTTTATGGCAGAATAGTACTCCTTTGAATATGAATGAAATACTCAAAGCGGGGATTACATTTTCTTGATGTATATGTCTGTTGATGGGCACATACGCCACTTCCAAGATTTAGCTATTATGAATTGTGCTGCCATAATATGCATATATTACTATGATACCTTTAACTCTAGGAAAAATAACTAGGAGACAGATAGTTGGGTCAAATGGGATTTCTATTTTCAGTTTTTTCAGGAATTTCCATACTAATTCCTGTAGTGTTTGGACTAGTTTTCCCCACAGCTGCAGCATTTGATTTTTCCCTTTTTTAAAGTTTCTCAATGGTAGTTGCTCTTTCTGGAATGATAGTATCTGTATTGTTTTAATTTGCATTTCTGGAATGGCCAGTAATGTGGATAATTTTTCACATAATTATTTGTATTTCTGAGGTATGTCTCTTCAATTGCCCACTTTCATCAGGTCTTTCATTTGTGGAGGGTCTAAATCTTTTTAGTTTTTCATATAGTTGTTAGTCCCCCACCCAAAGAATAGCTAGAAAATATTTTATTGCATTCAATGGGTTGTCTCTTCGCTCAGTTGTTTCTATGGCTGTACAACTTCTTAATTTGGTAAGTTTCTATTTGCTGATTCTCAGTACTATTTCTGGGCCATCCAGGCTCTCCCTTAACCTTTATTGCCTCTTCTTCTTTTTAAATTTTATTTATTTATTTGGTACAGGGTCTCACTATGCAGCTTGGACTTGTAGTGATCCTCCTGTCTTGGCCTCTTCAATGCTGGTATTACAGACATGCACCACCATGCTTAATTTCAGTGGCTGGCACAGTGTGCCCAGGGTTCCGGGGCCAGCATGGCATGTAGTACCAGAAATCAAATCCAGGTCCTTATGCTTGCCAGGCAGGCACTTAAACCTCCAAGTTACCTCCCCAGCCCTTTTTTTGCCTCTTCTGATCAATTTTGGTTTAAAGACCACTTTGTCTGAAAATAGGATAGCTACTCCTGCTTGTTTTCAGGTTCCCATTACATGGAATATCACTTTGCATCATTTTCTAGGCTGGATTTCTTTTTGGGTTAAATGTGTTTCTTATATACAGCATACTGTTGGATTTTGTTTCTCCATCTATTCTGTCAATCTGTGTCTTTTCACTAATAGTTGTATCAGATAGGTATTCTCTAATTCCTGTCATTGTGTTATTTTCCTGATTAACTTCTTTACCCTTCTACTTAACTACTTTGGCATTGTCCCCTGTAGGAGACCACTACTCTGCTCTCTCCTGAAAAAATAGCCTTGGCCACAGCCCTAGCCTTCTTGTCCTTTCCTTCACCCTATCTAATGAAATATATAGAACTGGCTGTATTGAAACAAATGTTCCTGGCAATAAAGGTGCCAACCTTACAATCAAAACTGTCTGTGCAGTAATTGAAGGTCTTTGTGCTTGGTATGGGAACAAACTTCTCTTTGTACTCTTCCTCTACCACCCCCTGCCTCCCTGATTGATAAAAAAAAAAAAAAAAAAAAATCCATGAGCTTTTGGAGGCCAGGCCTTTTGTTCCAGAGATATGAGGTCATCCCAGAGCTCCTCAAATGCAGAATGTTCTTTGACTTTCTTTTGTATCCTTTTACCATATTGCCAGATGGGTTGGCCTCAGACCCTCCACGGGGGTTTCAGCAGTTCACTTTATTTTCTCTTTTTAGACTATCCTTGAAAATGTTTTTGAATGCTAGTTTGGTGATCATGAATTTCTTTTGGTGATCTTTATCATGGAAAAATCATATTTCTCCATCAATTTTAAAAGATAACTTTGCTGATACAATCAGTCCGTGTTGGAAGCTGTTTTCTTTTAGGGCTTGAAATACTTAGTTCCAAGCTTTGCTTGCCTTGTAGACTATTTGAGAAGTCTGCTGTGATTCTGATGGGTTTTTCTTCATAAGTGATTTGTTGCTTTTCTCTAACAGCTTTTAAGACTGTTCTTATGTTGGATTTCTGGCATTTTGATTATGATGTGTCATGCAGTGATTCTTTTCTGATCAGAGCTCTTTGAGTTTCTATATTCCTCACTTAACTGTATGTTAAGTGCCATTTTCATGTTTGGAAAGTTTCTTCTATAAACAGGTTTTTATGTCCTTTGTGCCACCTAATTTCATTGAGTCTTAAATTAGCCCTCTTTGTGTCATCTAATAGCAATTTGATCAACTTTTCATGTTCTGTTTTTAGGATACCTCTTATTGATTGATCATCTACCTCAACCCTGTCTTCTAAATACCTGTCTTTAAGCCTCCCACCATGGACTGCAGGCCCTGTGTCTTCTGGTTACTGCTTGAACGTCTCAGAGGATCTATATGTAGCCCTAATCCTCTCTCTCTAATGGCTCGCTCTCTCTCTCATAGAGTCACCTGATATAATAACACTTTAGGTGGATAGGGAGATGGTTCAGTAGAATAATCACTTCCTGGCAAGCGCAAGGGTCTGAGTTCAATCCCCAGTTCCACAAAAAAAAAAAAAAAAAAAAAAAAAAAACACTTTAGTCCAAATGGCATCAGATTGTATTCAGGCGTTAGGCACTACACTGATTTCTTCTTGAGCTCTCATCCTGCCATGAGTTCACATCACTGTGGGCTTTTCTTGGAGCCAGTGTTGCTGCTGGCCCAACAGTTACTTCCCACTGAAGCTGCCAGGTCTTCTGGATTTACCTTGTCCTCCATCAGATTGATGGTTTGGTAGTCACCTCTACAAACCTGTGCTGAGAGAATCCAAAGTGGAAAGCCAGGTAGGAGATGGCAGATGTGAAACAGACAAAGCAGAGCAGGAAGGCATTCTCTTCATGCATGTTCAGTGAGTCGGGGCATCTTTGTGTGGTACTGGCATTTTATGACTTGGAATCAGTCACTTTACCTCATTGAGCTCTGGCTTCATTTGTGAAGTGAAAATGTTAAGCAATAACTACCTAATAAATTTAGAGTTAAAATGGCAACTTGTACATAAAAGGTATTTGTTGCATGCTGGTTCCT